ATGCCGTAATCAAATTCGAATATATTTTAGGTAGGTAAGGCCTTTACCAATTTCAATCTTATGAAACTCCTAGATCTTTTGAGATACATTGAATCTAATCAATGGCATGTTTAATCTTAAATTATGCTCTCACTTTTGTGACTAGGATGCGGAAGATCACAAACGAGATGTGAATAACCATGCAAATTATCTTAGCACTCTCGATGTCATTTATTATCTCATTTTAATGTGTCGGTTAGCCACGCGTGCTCCACTAACGACTTTTAAAGTGTAATGTGCAATTTCATGGATTAGCATACAAAGTCACATTTTTCCTAAAGTAACTGAAAAAGGGATTTTAATAAAAATGTTTAGTTACTTTTTTAGTTTATTATACTTATTAATGAAAATTAATTGTCCTATCAAACCCATTCGGCTAACAACCCTCCACCACACAAGAGAGTGGTGGGTGAGAGTGGACACCCATTCAACGACCATTTTATAGGCCGCTTCCTTATACCCTCTTTATAGCATGGTTTCGTGAATGAGGTCTACTATTGATTTGACTCACTTAATCTTATACAAATAGTAATTGTTAAACTTTTAATTTTTACATATAGTATAAAGTGTATTTTAAAATTTTTCAAAATACTAAGTTTAATATTAAATTTCGAAATTAAAAAATTTAATTTAAATTTAAAATTAAACTTAAATGATTTAATAATTATTTATTAATTGAACATTTAATCAGTTATATATTAAATCAATTAAGGATTATCCAATTTTATTAATCAAAATAATTTAATCCTAATCATTCCCCCTAATTTTCGAAAATATGGGTAGGGATTATCCAATTTTATAATTATCCTATTTAATCAGATAAACTAACAATTAGCAAAAATAAGAAAACTCTGTCCAAACTTACAAATTTTCGAAAATACTAGCTTGGGGAGGAAGATAAGGATTTCAATCCCTACCCTAAATTTCGAAATCCTGAAGGGTAAGAAACCTTGCCAAAATCGAAACTTGGGAGGTAAGGTAAGGGTTTCAACCCTTACCATAATTTCGAAACTTAGGGCCTAAGAAACCCTAATTTCGAAATCCTTGTCCAAGAGAGTTTAAATGCCATAAACCCCAATTTGATCAATTCAACTATTATACCTATTCAATACAAAACAAACCTAACGCTCTGATGCCACTGATGGTTTTTATGCAAAACAAATAAACTTAGACTCTTAAGTGTGCATGCAACACTAATAAGGATCTATGTTTTCACTATTGAATCTATAACTAAGAACATCAAAATAAACCCTAAGAACCCTATGTAATTTTTAAAAATACTAAAAAAAGGTTTAGGGTTACATACCTTTTAGTTGTTATAGCAAACAACTAGAATTCTGCTTTGAAGATCTCTTGGAAGCAAACACCACAAGTGTCGTGCATCTAATGAAATCACACCCAAACTAGCATGAGGAAAAATATAGAGAGATGAGAAGGGAGCCAATATTTCATCAAAGGTTTTTAGAGAGAAGGCATAGACGAAATTGTGAAGGGTTATGGCCTTTATATAGCTAAGGTAGCTTGGTGCCAAAGTTAGGGTTTAAGGAGGAAACCCTAAATCCCTTTGCTTGGTGACCAAGAAGCCCATTCCCCTTATCCAAGGGGCTTGGATGAAAACTCTTGGGCTTGCCCAAGTGATTTTTGTCCACCTCATCCAATGAGGTCCTTGGGCTTATTTCCCTAACTTTCAATAAATAACCAAACAGTCCCTGCATTTTTAATTAATCCATTTAATCCCAAATTTAACTCCAATTAATTTTTGATTAATTATTAATTAAATAATATGATTTCTAATTAATATATTATTTTCATAATACCTTAATAAATCAATTATTTCAATTTATTAATCACATAATAAATTAACCTCTCTCTCTCTCTCTAAAAGTCATCTTGTCCAATTGTTAGGTTTGAGGGTAACCAAAAAGGACTGTGCTACTATCAATTCAAGTTTATACCAATTATATTTATGGGCTTAGACACCTAATCCCACACATAGATCCTATACATATTCCCTCAGGAGTGGCTAATCTGATGTCACACTGGCCTGCTGCAATCCATACTAACTAATGAAACTTCCACCAACCCTGCAGCCGCTCGTACGACTTTATAGAGAGTCGAATACTCGATTCTACCCTAAGCCCACAACCAGACAAGGAACATGAAATAAGGATAAATCAAACATTCTCAGACTATAAAATCTTAGTTATGTACAGCTATGATGCATACACTAAGCAACTACAGTATTGATGTCAATTCCATCTAGCATATAAGATATTCTCCTAGGCTATCAGGCATCATAACCCAATCAATTCTATCATGAAATTCCTGAAGATCCTTATCCTATAACTATCATGAAATTGTACCATAATCACAATAAGCAAATAACAGTGTGGGTATCTGGGGGAAATACTTTCTTGCTCCGATTGATCGTACACATCGCATCATTCCTTAGTTACTTTTGAAAACAATTTTGAAAATCATTTAAAAACTTTCACAGATCCTTAGTTTAAGTCTTGATTCACACGAGTGTTCATCCAATTCTCTCAAACTAGGGCTCTTTACCAACTTATAACATCCCAAAATCAAGACAAAATTTTTAAATTTTAAACAATTCCAAAATCCACAAATATCACAAAATCATAATTTCCAAAAGTCATAAAACAAGAATCAGAGTATTCCAAAAAATCATAATCTCATAAACTCTAGGATGATATGCACGATCAGGCCTTCGCTTTGCCCCTGTCCTCTGAAGTACCTGAAACAATAAATTCAAACTGTAAGCCAAAGCTTAGTGAGTCTCCCCAAAGTACCACACACAACCAACATATAACAGCACGCAAATATAAGCCTTCATACTGACTGGACCGCCTCGCAGGGCCTACAGCCTATCTGGACTCCTCTTCAGTCCTTCGGTCTGACTACAACGCCTCGCGGGGCCTTCAGCGTATCCGGACCGCCCCAGGTATCTTGGCCTTCAGCACAAAGCAGGACCGCCTCAACCCAAACACAATATGTCGCCATATAAATAACAAATAATCATAAACACATATCCAACAAATATAGGTAATCATACAAATCTACTGATCTAACAGTACTCTACGACATAGCGACAAACTATATACTAGGATACATAACACAACCGAATGGGCCGACATTGGTGCCTTCGACCAACAAGTACAGTGAGGAAACTCACCTCATAGTCTGAAAGATAGCTGAATTGATCACTTCTCCCAAATACTGACTCTACAGGCCACCTATACCATAAGCAGTGACCAAACCTCAATCTACTGCTCAAATTACACTATTTGACCTAAAGTCAAACTTGTTCAATGGTCAAAGTCAACGGTCAATGGACAAAGGTCAAAATCTTTATTCAAAAGTCTCAGATTCTGCCTTCACATCGTGACCCTCTAGTTGTCACATCGTGACCTGTTGAGGCAAAATAGTTGAGATGGTCCATTCTCACGTCGTGAGCCATGAATGCTCACGTCGTGAGAAGCGCTCTGACTAACTAGATGTTTTAAGCTCTTAATCCCTTTTGGACAAATACCCAAAACTTCTAAAATGTCTTATCTACTCCAGAACATCATAAAAATCATGGCTTTTTGGACATAGATGTCCAATGCATGTCCCAAGCATAAACTATGGCATAAAAGGAAGAAATGGCATCAAAACTCACGCAAGAGTCTTAAAACTCGACCACACTTCAGATCTATCACTTATTTTATCAAAGGGACATTAGAGATCCATAAATTTGGCAAATTTATGGATTCCATGCACCATAACACTAAATCCATGAAATAATATGTATAAAAGACTAGATCTAGGCTCATAAACCTATAAAGTTATGATCTTAGAAACTCATAATGGTCCAGAAGATGTGGAAAAGAATGATGGAGAGGCTTGAGTGCTGAGATGATGGCTAGATGGTCTTCTTCTTCTTCTTTGGTAGAAATCACCACAAAGAGCTTAAAAAGCAACTATGGAGTGTTAGGGTTTTAAAAGGAAGTGTTGAGAGGTGATGAAGGTTGAGGGTGGGTTAACCCTAACCCTCACTTCCTTGAAGTATGGAAAAAACCCCCCAAAATTAGCTTTTCCTCACAGACAAGCCTCAAGTCGTGAGCCATATGTGCTCACGTAGTGGCACCAAAGATGATGCATGTTTTGAACTTTCACCACATGATGTGACAGGCATCCCTCACGTAGTCAGCCAGGTGAAACTCCAACATTTAACTTAATGAAATGCTTACCTAGATTGGGTGTTACAGAGAGTGTGCCCAACTATTAACCATAACTTGTAATTTGTTTTCATGCAATTCAGCATTATCCTTTTTAGTGTTTATGTCAATATTTGTAAGAGATAGATTTATAACATTGATGTTTGTTAGGGCAAGGTTTTTCTTAGTGTCTGTCAGTTTATTTGCTAGTGCCTCAATTTCTAGCCTAAGTGAGTGCTTCTATTAATTAACATTCAAAAGCTAAAGACACTGGATAATCAAACACCATGCATTTTTCATTATGAGAATAGTTGAAAATTTTGTTGACCTAATATAAGGATGAAGAATCCTAATCTAGCATCTTTGAATCTTTAGCAGCTTCAGCATGGTCAATTTTGTAGAGTCAAAGATATTGTGATGTATCGAAGTCTTAGGTAAGAGTCAAAGTATTGTTAGGGTGTCCATATCGAAGGTTTACACAACTTTGATTTTGTATGTATTTTATCACGCACTTATGTTGTATCTCTTTTAATGTCGAAGTCCTGATATATTTTTTGTATCTGTCGAGTACACTATAAATAGTGTAGGTGACTAAGTCATTTGTAACTTTTGTAGTTTTGAGCTTTCACTTTCTCTCAAATGTATTTTTGCATCCTCCAGATAACATGAGCTAAAATTATATTATATTTAGATCTTCGTGTTCATATTAACCCATATTACATATTTGATTGATTTCTTAACACTTCAAGCTTCGAATGAACTAAAGTCGCTGCTTACTTCATCAGTGACAAATGAATCAGTGTGTGCCGTTAAACACTTATCATTTCCTTTATCGTCATCGAATGATTCTTCATCATCCACCCATCTTTCCAGTTCTGCTACCAAAACTTTCACATCAATGTTTTGTATCTTTAAAGAGGCCAACACCTTCTTATACTTCACTTCGTAATCTTCTTTCACATCCACTTTCTTGGACTTTAAACCCCTAGCAAAGTGACTAGTGTCTCTGTAATTGAAACACCCTGGTCCATCCTTCTTCTCAGCAACCATCTTCTTTCCAGCGGCATAGCCCTTAGACATTCATGAGTCAAACGTTGGTGGAAACCTTTTGGGTCCATACGGTTTCTTGTTATTTCGACTAATATAGCGTTTGGCAATTAAGGCTTCATCTTCGGAATCATCAGAAAAGTCATTGTCACTATTAGGAAGTGACTTCTTCAAGTAGAGGGCAACCAATCTAACCCTGTGAGTGTCTTGCATAATTTCCTTGTGCAAGATCTTTGTTTCTTCATGTTTACGAAGATTGCCAAACAATGAAGACAAATCCATGGTTGCGATCTTCTCACCGTTCTTTAAAACATCAACATGATGTTCCCATATATCATTCAGTGAGTCAAGAAACTTGAGAACCAACGAATTTCTAGTTTTCTTCATGTGTAGAGGACACATATCATTCACCAAGCAATTAAAGTGATTAAAATCTTGAGTAAGAGATTCATTTTTTGTTGGAAAAGTACGCGTACTGTCGATTTAGACTGTTCTTGTTGACATCCTTAAGTTCATCAGTTCCTTCATATGCTACCATCGGCGTATCCGTCATCCCCTTAGCAGATCTGAAATTCTGAACAAAATGGTAGATGCCATAAGGAAGAGTGTTTCCTATGGCCACATGAGCTTTTACGTTTAGAGCAACCAGATACTTCTCGTCTTCAGTGAACACATGATCATGTTTTTCAACCTCGTCACCATCCTTAACATTATCCTTCTTGGGTGGATACATAGGAACATGAGGACCGTCCTTGATGATATCCATCATGGAATAGTCCATGGTTTGAAGAACCATCATGGCTTTTGACTTCTACATGGTGAAATTCATCTCATCAAACTGTGGGATTTTGTGACCAGAAGCGGTTTAAAAGTGATTGGATGATGAAAAATAGATTGTTAATTGATATCAGTTAACCGCTCTGATACCAGTTGTGAGATCCCTGATCTAGATCGATTAACATAAAAATACAAAAAATAAAGGGTTTATCACAAAGATTTTTACTAAGAATGTTCTCACCAAGAGTACAAGCACAAAGCTAGGGTTCGTAAATTGGTAAATTACACGAACTCATAATACATTTTTTTATAGTAAAATCTAGGTGGTGTAAATCACTACACATCAGGAATTTCACCTAATATATGTAAATACATAATATATCTGATATCCCTAAGATATCAGATCTGTTAACTAACTATTTACACGTGCATCTACAGAACATCATCACACTGACACTGGCTCTGTTGGTTAAGTCTTCACATTGGAGCTAGTGATACAATGGCGTTGATCGAAGTTAGTGTGACCCAGTTTTACTTCATCAGATTCCAAGGTTCGACCCTACACCAACATTTGATTGTTTTAGAGATTGGCAGTGGCTGTGGAAGGCAACTTTTGCTGGTTATTGAAAATCTATATTTGCAATTGTAGTTGATGACTTGTCCAAGTGAGAGACTGTTGGAATAAGTGTCTGAGGTCATAACTAAGTTGGTCAAAGTCATAACTAAATTGGTATAACTTTATGGAATAAAAGTAAAGTCATTTTAGGATGCCCTCAATAACAAGAAATAGCTATAAATGACTTAAGGAGAGAAATAAAATGATTTGTTAATATATTATATGATTAATAAATTAATTAGAAATGATTGGATTTAATTAGTTATTAATCAGAATTAATCTGGAATTGATTCGGGATTAACTGGAATTATTAAAGGTGCAATGACTGAATCGTAATTGTTCATAATTAATCAAGGAAGGCAGTTCTAGATGGTTCCTATGGGGTGGACTATTTCATAGGGCTCTGGAAGGGTTCTAGAAGCCTCTTGGTAATTGATAAAGATAACTACCTTGAATAGATTAAATCTGAATATTTAATTATTTAAATTAGGGTTACTTGGAGATCCACTAGCTATAAATAATACCCCCTTGGCATCATAATTTTGTGGCTAAGCCTCTTGGAAGGTTAAAATCCGAATTTCATATTTCTCATTCCCTTTCTTCTTGATTTCTAGTGTTATAGATTTTTTTGGGTGTGAGCCATTAGAGATTTTCACATTTTATGAAGACTTAAGAGTTAGTATAATCGTTTTACTAAAAGGTATATTACTAATCTGAATTGTTATTGTAGATAGATAGATTTGATCATTTTTCCATAGTATGTTGCTATAATGAGAAATTTTCATAGATCTCTAGGTTGCATGTGCCCACAAATAGTTTAGTGATTTCTGTTGTGTTGTTTTATGTTTTATTGTAATCTAGAAAACACATCAGTTATAATTTACCTTTTTGACGATAACAACAACCTACTTCCAAACCTTCTTCAAACCTTTTTGTTGAGACTCTAACTCCTCCTTTGCCACAACATATTCCGTTCACACTTTTATACCCTTTTTACATGTCTTAAACCATTTGGAACTTAATAGAAATTCTAGCCAAATACTTATAGTTTTTGTAGAGCTTTATCTTGACAATCCTCTGTCAATAAAGCTGCTAAATTACTCAAATGTGGCTTCTTAGCACTTAATCCATAAAGCTCTTAACATATATCAACCATTTCATGATTTTCCAAAACTAGGGTTTGAAATATTAACAATCACCACATGATTCAACCATGAAATCTTTATAAAAAATCATGTATTAAGCTTTCAAACTGTAACATGCGGATTTCCAGGTATGCTATAAAGTTCATTTATCTGGAGTTTTATGGAGGGACTCGGCGAGTAGGCACTCAGACTCGCCGAGTAGGAGCGCGCATTTCTTGTCTAATTTAATGAAGGACTCGACGAGTCGATGCGTGGACTCGGCGAGTCCGCGCTGTAAAGTGAAACCCTAATTCTCGGGGTCTGTGCCCTATTTAAAGGCCTTTATAGCCTCCATTTGCGGCCAATGCACCCCTGAGAAACCCTAGAGAGCAGAGAGAAAGCTTGTAGTGCAAGAGGAGAGCTAATTCATCATTCTAAGTGTGATTTTGCAAGAAAGAAGGAAGGAGGACAAACAAGGAAGATTGAGGAGCTCAGATCTATCACCTATTTGATGAGAAGAGGTTGCTAGAGGTACTAATCTGTGCTCAATCTCGTGTATTTGGTGATATACTTGAATCTAGGGTTTTCTTATGCCTTCTTTGGCTTGGATTCGAAGTATGTGAGGTCCCAAGGTGGAGTTCTTCTTAGATCTGGACCTTAAGAGGTCCAGAGAGTCCTATCTACCTTGCTTTTTGCTACTCCATTAGAGATATGACCCTAGGATGCCATTCTAGAGGTTATTTCACCCAAAGGAGCTTATTGGACATTGCATGAGTGTAAAGGTCGGACCTTTACGTGATTATAGTGGTTAGGAAGGCCATATCTATAGGTTAGAGAAATAGATCTGACCTCAGAAGGTCATTTCAGTGTTGACATGGATGCAACTCGCCGAGTCCATAATGGGACTCGACGAGTCGAGTCGGGGTTGCCCCGCGATTCGTGATAGGTGTAACCCGTCGAGTGGGACGATGACTCGACGAGTCAAGAGAGGCTAGAAGGATTCAGAAAACCCGCATGGACTCGCCGAGTCGCCTTTGTGCACTCGACGAGTCGGGTCAAAGTTTGACCGTTGACTTTCGTTGACTTTAGGGTTCTGGTCAAGACTGATTCAAGAGAGTTCAGAGAGGGGTGGAATGACCTTCTACCCAATCTGTAGAGATGAGATTATGAGAGAATATTGATCGGGAATGTTATTTGAATAATAGGAGGAGGCTAGGTTGGGACGTTGAGCACAAGAGTTTATCCGACTTCATTGAGGTGAGTCTTCTCACTATATTGTACCTGGAAGGGTACCTATGTGTGACCGGAAGGTCTTGTATGCTTTGAGATGTATCTGTTATGTGCGGTTATGTGATATGTATGTGCTATGTATGTTATGTATGGTATGGACCGGAAGGTCAAGATGATATGGACCGGAAGGTCAAGATGACATGGACCGGAAGGTCAAGAGGTTACGGACTGGAAGGTCGATACGGGTAGGACCGGAAGGTCTACCGGGATTCGGGACGGAAGTCCCCTGAGACACATGGATCGGAAGATCCTACAGAGTTATGGCCTGGAAAGGCGTATGTGTTGTATATGGTATCTTGGGGAACTCACTAAGCATTTATGCTTACAGTTGTTATGTTATGTGTTTCAGGTACTAGCGAGGATCGCGGGAAGGCGCCGGCATGATCCGTACACACTTTTGGAGTTTATGTTATTGATATTCTGGGACATGTTTTGTTAGACACAGTGGATACATTATGTTTTGTGATTATTGTGTGATTGAAAGTATGATTTAAAAATGAAAAATTGTTTTGAAAATTTACATTGTTACTAGTTGGTATCAGAGCCTTGGTTTGAGGGATTCGGATGCACCTTCGGGTGTATTTGAACTCAAACTGAGGATTTGAGGAAGTTTTTCATAAAATAAACAATTTTTCTAAAGAAGTAAAAGGATTTGAGAAAAGCAGAAGGAAGCAGTGTGTACGATCAACCAGCGCCTGAACGGTGATTTCCCAAAATACCCTTACATTATGTGTTATGAGATATGTTATGATATGATATGCATGCTAGAGTTGGCTAGGTATTCATATTAGGACTAGAGTGGCCTGATTTTGTGATGCCTTAGCCTAGGTAGGATTTTGCTGCTATGTGATGCTTGAGAGCGAGTAGGTAGCAGTGAGGAGCTGATGAGAGGTCTACCGAAGGGTAGCCTATGCTAGTGAGATATAGAGTACTTGTGATCTGGGATCCTAGGAGGAGGACTTGGGGTGAACATTGATGCGGTGTGGACGGTAGTATAGGGCCCGTACTACTGAAGACACCGGATCAGTGCACAGTCCAAGTAAGAATCCTTAGGGTACTAGGGAACAAGTAGGGTTGAGTTATCGAGCGCGAGTATGCTCGAGCGAGTCTCTGAAAATTATTATGTTGTATTTCAGAGACATCATGGTTGGGACACACCACACCCCTAAGACGAGCGGCGTGAGTGATGAGGAGCTTCGTCAGATGATCCACGATGAGGTGGCAGC